CTGCCTGATACATGTATGTCACTGATAACCTTTACGTTCTATACATTTGTATTAGCGAAAAACTGTTTACTGCAAGTATACCACCTGTGTGTGCAAAACATGCCTTTTCACTGATGACTTATTTGAGTAATGTATGTATATCGTTGACTTCATGTTTACAGGCGCATTACATAAGAACACACGGACTAGGAGGTTCCATGGTGTGGGCATTGGATTTAGATGACTTTAACAATGTCTGTGGAGTTGGAGTCAATCCAATAATAACTTTAATGAAGGCAGTGCTGGATTTGCCGACCACAGGACCTACCAAACGCTCGACATCGGCACCTTTAAGTGTAAGACCGGCTTCAGTTACTTTGCTTGTCTGATAAATAATCTTTGAATTTAATCGTTCATTCTTTATTCGAATGTATGACCATCTTAAATTATGTTCCATAAACCCATTAAAGAATTAATAGAGTAATGTTATATTCCTATGGCTGATTAGAATTTTTAGGAGAATACAATAGTTCTATTGAAAATCATTTTGTCATGATTTGTTTAATACATATATAAATAAATATCGATTACATGGATTTTAATGCATACAGTAGGTTTCCCTGTCTAAATGCTGGCAAAAGCTTACGAAAAAGTCCTATTAATTTTGATTTGGCTATCATTATAGTACAGCTAGGGAGGGGATTGACCACTGATTAGGTAGTTGGTTAAACGGCAAGTACAAGGATTGGAGGTTCGGGGTTCGATTGAAGGTTTGGCTCCCGTTTCGAAAATGTTCCTGAAGGCAATTCCTTAATTTAAGAAATGTCCATAGGAAAGTATTTCTCAAGTTTCGGAAATTCCCTTAACCTGTGATTTTCATTGAAATGAAGCAAAAAGTTTCAATTGAAAAATACCTTAAAGAATTTTTCCTGCGTTTAGTAACTTTAATTAAACTTGGCCTTGGACCGATGGTTTTATAAAAATCTAAAGACACTGTTTTGATTTTTAAAAAGTCGTCATAACTATAAGTGGTATTGTAATAGTTCTGCAAGGTTATAGATTATCAAAGCGATTACCATATGGTTGATAAGTTTTCAATTCAGGTTTTGAAAGTTCTACAGGGATTGTCAAGGTATTTAATATATATTTTGGTCGAAAGCCACATCTTCTTGTATGACCTTACAGGCTGGTTTACGTAAACTTGCATCTTCGATTATTTTTTTTCTTGTCACAAGGAATTCTAAACTCCTGCATTTGTTAACAGATTCTGTGACTGGTCCTCGTACAACACCACAGCAAAAGCTGACCACTACAACCGCTTATGCTAGAACAACTAGTGGTACAAGTTTGCAGACCACATCAAACTCTCAAACTACATGTGGTAAATACTCAGTAATAATTTTACAATATATTATCTTTAATACACTATTCTCGAACTTTCATTATAACATTGTTTACCAAACATTGGAACATCGACCTAAAAGAAAAAAAAATGTGGATTTTTTTATTAGCTTTTCTGCCCGAATGGCAAGTGAGCTTATGTCATGGTGCGGCGTCCGTCGTCCGTCAACTTTTCCTTTAAACACCGTTTTCTGAAGAACGGACAGGCCTAGAGTCATGATATTTGGCTGACAGTTTTGTTGGTAAGAGCCCGGCAAAGCTTAAGAACAAAAAGGTCCTTAACCTACTTTCAAGGTCACAGAGGTCAAATGTGTCAAAAACTTAAAACGAATTCTTCTGAAGAACTAATGGTTATAGAATCTTCATAGTTTGCTGGTAGCTTCCTGGAATAGAGACCTACACATTTTGAGAACGAAAATGTCCTTGACCTATACTATTTTCAAGGTCACAGGGGTCAAATGTGGCAAAAACTTTAAACAACTTCTTCTGAAGAACAGAAAGTTATAGAATCTTCATATTTGGCTGGTAGTTTTCTAGGATAAAGGACAAAAAAGATTGAGAATGGATATGAACCTGCCCTACTTTTAAGGTCACAGGGTTCAAATGTGTCAAACACTTAAAACGAATTCTTCTGAAGAACTGAAAGTTATAGAATCTTCATAGTTTGCTGGTAGTTTCCTGGAATAGAGACCGACACATTTTGAGAACGAAAATGACCTTGATCTACTTTTAATGTCACAGGGTTCAAATATAACAAAAACATCAAACGAGTTCTTCTTGATAATCAAAAGATATAGAATCTTCATATTGGGCTTTTCTGTTTTTTTTTTTTTTAATCTTCATATTTGGCTAGCCTCCAAGAAAGCTGGGTCAACGTCCCGAGGCTGGGTACGTTGGTGCTCAATGCGTATGTGATCATTTCTGGGGTGTGATTGTGGCGCGCTAGGCGTCATCGTAGCAGAAGGCTTTCACAGTAGCTCCAATTTGAGCCAACCTGTTTGCCGTGGGTTGCATCTCGTATTCCTGGGGGAAGAAGATCCTGGTAGTTGAGCAGAGTCGGAATCACTGTCAAACTCTTGATAGGAAGGAGACATGATCCGACATTCTGCAACATACTGCTTTGGCTTCGGACTCTGAGTAGACGAGAGGTGATATGGGCCCTCTATCACCAATCGGCTGGTCACGCCGAGCCCTTGGTATACATACTCCCAAGAAGGCGATGGCTTAGGGTCGATCGCGAGAGTATACTCTTTCAAATAGTATGCATATTCTTACGAGTATACTATTCTATGTATCTCCGAAACTTTGGCGATGGATATCCGCGTCACACCAGTGTCCCCTTGCTGGGCTCCGTGGCGGTTGGAGGCATAGATCGTGAAACAAACAAAAATACACATGGGTAAAGATAAAAACCACCAAAACGACGGACATATTAAAAACCGGAACGATGACTCTAGCTCAAAAATAACACAAAACGCAACACAGAACACCCAATTCCCGCAAATCCTTGTGATGACCTCTACACAGAGTGGCAGAACAACGGCCGCGTTGACGCCACTTCTGTTGAGGAAGGGCATATAGGGAATTGCAGGGGATGTGATATCCGTTAAGCCATTGGGATCGGGCTATCTCCTTATAGAGGTTTATCGCCAACAAAAGGCGATGAACCTACTACTCGGAACAACCAGTTTTGCCGGCATCGGTGTCAGTGTGAAACCACACTCATCACTTAATTGCAGCAAGGGGGTAATCAGGTGCCCAGCCTGGCGCAATGACACCGATGAAGACATACTGGCATATTTCAAGGAGGTGAGCGTCCTGGTCTCTGAGGTGAGGCGGATGGTGATCAGGGGAAACAATGATAATATCAAAACAAACACCTTCATCATCACTTTTTCAACGCCAACATTACCCCATATACTAACAATCGGATACCAGAGGTACAACGTTTCCGTCTACATCCCAAATCCATTGCGATGCCGAAACTGTCAGAAGTACGGTCATCACGAAAAAAGATGTAGACAAAAATCGATCTGCCAGTATTGTGGCCGTGAGGGTCACACCGAACAAAGTGACTGTGACATCGCCAACCTGCGCTGTGTCAACTGTGAGGAGAAGCACGCTGCCTCTTCTCGCGACTGCCCTACCTGGAGTCGGCAGAAGGAGATATTACGGGTTAACAAACCCGAGGTTTCTCTTTTCCCGAGACCAGGAGGATAGTCGGGAGTGCAGACATTGCTACACCCTCTTACGCACAGGTGACTCGAGGCAAGGCGCCGGTTGACAATGTCAAGGTCAAGGATGCTTCGGTTCAAGTATCTGAAGACATACCTGCCTGGGGCTCACAAGTCCCAGACATGGCTGGTCAACAGAACTTGATAATCCTCACGGGGGACCCATCCCGTTTCACGACTTTAACCAAACCATCCAAATCAACCAAACCAAACAACCTGTCAAAAGCAGCATCACCATCAAAAGCAGCATCACCCTCAAAAGCAGTATCTTCATCAAAACCAGCATCTTCAACAAAACGAGCAACACCATCAAAACCAGCAACACCATCAAAAACACCTTCCTCTTCAGGAGAAAACCCTCCAAAGGTTGGCCCATCTAGGGCACAGATGCGGTCGCAGCGATCTCGCTCACTCACATCTGTTCCTCGATGTTGCGAGGGGCAAATCTGATTGACCTGATCTGAATGTCACCTTTGGCAAAGGATCAGAGGACCCGACAAACCGGTTCAATGTCCTACTATATTTCGATGATGAGATGGAGACGAATGCCTCAGCGCTTCGTGCTTCGACTCCATCGAAATCCAGCCGAAATAGAAAAAAATAAATAATACAATTATCCAATGGAACATCCGCGGAAGAAAGGCAAATATAGAAGAATTTCAGATCTATCAAAATAATTTAGACCCGCCATTTTTTGTCTACAAGAAATCATTTTTCTTAAGAATATTGGTACTTCTGTTGATGATCCTCTACCTAGATGGAATATGCACAAAACAGATTGGGTCAAATTCCAACACATGTGCATTGAAAAACTAACCGTAGACAATTTTACTAACCTCGACGACCCTTTCAAAACTTTTACTGAAACACTCACTTCTATTGCCCAAAAGACAATTCCAAAATCTGCTCCAAAACCTACGAAGTTCCTTTTATCTGAAGAATCTTTTAAAACACGCAGTAATCGGGCAGCTGCTCTAAGACGCTACTTCAATTGCCCAACAGCTTCAAACTACAGTGAATTTAAAATTTGGCGGGCAAAGGCTCGGCGATCAATTAAAATTGACAAAAGAAACAGCTGGAGAGAATATGTATCCCAGATATCATCAAACACGTCCTCATAAAAAGTATGGGATATGATTCGGAAAATAAGTGGAAAAAAGAAAAAGGCAACATCCTCCCACCTCATTAATAAAAACATTTTTTTTTTCGTCTATGACTGAAATTGCTGATGCATTTGCAAAAAACATAGCTAAAAACTCATCCCCTGCAAACCACTCCCAAAAATTCCAGTCTTTAAAAAAAATGAGAGAAAAGAAACGGCTCAATTTCAAATCACCAAATAAAGAAAGTTATAATGAACAATTTACCCTACCAGAACTTGTTGATTCGCTTAGAAAATCACAGGACACTGCTTCAGGTCCTGATGATATTCCATATCAATTTATAAAGCACTTACCGGACTCGTCACTAGCATGCCTTCTTTACATATTCAACCAAGTTTACGCTTCCGGAAAGATTCCTGATTCGTGGAAGAACTCCACAATTATACCTATCCAAAAAACCGGGAAAGGATGCTACTAACCCTAAATACTATCGTCCTATATTTCTGACTAGTTGTGTATGTAAAACTTTAGAACGAATGATAAACACTAGACTGGTTTGGTTTCTTGAGGCCAACGATATAATATCCCCTCTTCAAAGTGGCTTTAGAAATAGAACAGGGACAAATGACCATCTCATCAGATTAAAGATGTTCATTCGAGAGGCTTTCGCCAAGAAAGAACACCTTGTCGCTGTGTTCTTTGATCTTGAGAAGGCCTATGATACTACATGGCAGTATGGCATCATGAAAGATCTTCACGACCTTGGCGTACGTGGAAACCTTCCCAATTTTATATCTAATTACCTATCAGATAGACACTTCAAAGTCCGTGTTGGTTCAACTTTTTCTGAAACGTCTAAACAGGAAATGGGAGTCCCACAGGGTGGAATCCTATCAGTCACACTGTTTGGACTTAAAATAAATGATATAGTCAAATGTCTTGGTCAATCAACAGAAGGGTCGTTATTTGTGGATGACTTCTTGATCTGTTACAGATCTAAGAACATGCACACGATAGAACGACAACTTCAACAGAGTTTAAACAAACTACAAAATTGGGCAGACGAAAACGGCTTCAAATTCTCTAAATCCAAAACTGTGTGCATGCATTTCTGTCAAAAACGAAAAGCACACAATGACCCAAATCTAACACTCGATGGCACTAGAATTCCTGTTGTTGAACAGACTAAATTTCTCGGCCTCATTTTTGATTCGAAACTCTCTTTCATACCACATATAAAGTATCTGAAGGATAAGTGTTCCAAGGCGTTAAACATTATACGAGTCCTTTCTCATACTGATTGGGGAGCGGATCGTGAAATGCTTTTGCGCCTATACAGATCACTTATTCGAACAAAACTGGATTATGGTTCTATGGTATACGGGTCAGCGCGCAGTTCGTACCTTCAGATGCTAGATCCAATCCATAACCAAGGGCTACGTCTTGCCCTGGGAGCTTTTCGAACAACACCTGTAAAAAGCCTGTACGTGGAAGCAAATGAACCATCCCTTTATGACAGAAGAATAAAACTTTCATTACAATTTGCAACTCAATTAAAATCAAACCCTAAAAATCCTGCTTTCAACCAAGTATTCAACCCCAAATACCAAAACATATTTACGCAAAACCAAAAACTTCTGCCAACATTTGGTATCCGAATTTTGAATTTCCTGCAAGAACTCAACATAAAATTGACGGACATAGCTGAATTTAACATATCTGATGTTCCTCCGTGGACCATTCAAACCCCCGATTTTAACTTTACATTACATGAGCGAGGGAAATCAAGTGTTATGCCCGAAGAACACAAATCCTCCTTTCGGGAATGCATTTCGAATTACCCTTCTCATACACAACTTTACACCGATGGCTCCAAAGAAGGTGAGAAAGTGGCAGCAGCCTGCTGTACTGCCAATACTTGCACTTCAGTCCGACTACCAGACGGCGCCTCCATCTTTTCTGCTGAAGCATGCGCCATTGGTTTGGCCCTCGACCATATCGATGAACACCGCATTAAAAAGGCAATTATTTGTTCAGACTCTCTATCTGTCCTACAGAGTTTACAGTTACGAGATCCTAAAAACACAATCGTACAAAACCTTGCTCTTCGAATATCTCGTATATTAAAAAAGTCTAAAATAACTTTACTATGGATTCCGAGCCATGTCGGAATAAAAGGCAACGAATTTGCTGACAGGGAAGCAAAAAATGCATTGAATCTCGAACAAACAAATATCAAACTACCATACACAGATTTTAAACCTACTATTCGTACAGCCATTCAAAATGAATGGCAGAAACGCTGGTCTCTGGAGACCAACAACAAACTTTTTAAGATACAACCGAAACTTAAAACATCTATTCCCAGTCGGAAAGATCGTAGAGAGGAAGTTGTCCTCGCTCGGCTCCGCACTGGGCACACATATCCTACTCATTCGTACCTTTTAAAACGAGAAGATATACCTTCATGCCACGCATGTGACACTACATTTACAGTGGAACATTTTTTAATAGAATGTTCTGCTTTTAAACACATTCGTGATAACTACTTTCGAGTCCCGGATATAAAACACTTTTCAGTTCCGTGGATTCGAACGCTTTATTTAACTATTTGAAAGACATCGGTCTATTTTATAGACTCTGATGTCTTTTAACCCACCTTACCATTTTTGACGTTATATATATATCGCATATTCCATATCATCTATTCGTTATCTCTTTTATTATTTTAACCCCCTTTTTATTTTTTTATTATCTACACATACAATGCGAGTGCTTTTAAAATGAACCATTTTATCTGATTTTATCTTCGCTACTCACATGTTTGTTAAAAAAATAAAATAAATAAATAAATCACCATGGCCCTAAATGACCACAACCGTCGATGGGCCGTTAAACATAACAAACAAACAAACCAACAAATCATATTTGGCTGTTGGCTTCTTTGGATAGAGCCTAGCAAAGTTTGAGATTGAAAATTACTGACCTACTTTTAAGGTCACAGGCGTCAAATATGTCAAACACTTCAAACGACTTCTTCTGAAGAACTTAAAGCTATAGAATGTTCATATTTGGCTGGTGACTTCCTGTAATAATAACCAACAAATTTTGAGAACGAAAATGACCTTGACCCACTTTCAAGATCACAGGGGCCAAATGGCACAAAGCAACCTTATCGAACAAATTCACCAACGAAACAAACTTATTTATTAATGTCACCGACAAAGCAAACTGATAAGACAAGGTTTTCAACAGAACAAACTTATCCAACATAGTCCCCTACAAAACGAACTGACCAACCAAGTCCAACGACAAAACACCCGACAAAGTCATCAATAAAACAACCTTACACAACGACTTGGATGATAAAACAAACTGTCCAAACCGAGCATCCGACAATAAAAAGCTGGGCAAACAGGGTATCCAACAATAGAAACTGGGCAAACAGGGTATCCAACAATAGAAACTGGGCTATTAGGGTATCTAACAATAGAAACTTGGCAAACATGGTATCCAACCATAGAAACTGGGCAAACAGGGTATCCAATAATAGAAACTGGGCAAACAGGGTATCTAACAATAGAAACTGGGCAAACAGGGTATCTAACAATAGAAACTTGGCAAACAGGGTATCCGACATGACAAGACAACCAGACGAAACAAAGTCACAAACAGAATGATCTCTTCCGAAGATATTGCACAACACAAGAATCTTATCAAACATAATCACCGACTAAACAATCGCCAGAAACAGTTCAACAATCAAGAGATAGCTGAATTACCAAGGTCTAAGACAAAACAAACATACCAAATAAGGTCTTCGACAAAAAACACCTCACTCATCAAGATCACCAACAGAAGAAACTGGTCCTCCAAGATCATT